TTGCCCAAAAGATAGTTTTCCTCTTCCACATATCGATCGGCTCGTTGAGTCAACAGCCGGAAACGAACTCTTGACATTCATGGATGTATTTTCTGGATATAATCAGATCATGATGAATCCTGAAGACGAAGAAAAAACTTCCTTCATAACAGACAGTGGAATCTACTGTTACAAAGTTATGCCATTTGGTCTAAAAAATGCCGATGCGACATACCAACGTTTAGTTAACAAAATGTTTTCAGAACATTTGGGCTAAACGATGGAAGTTTATATTGATGATATGCTCGTGAAATCTCTTAAGAAATCTGAGCACATCACTCATCTTGAGCAGTGTTTCAAAATTCTGAATGATTTCAGAATGAAATTAAATCCTGCCAAATGTTCTTTTGGTGTGCCTTCCGGAGAATTCCTAGGTTATATAGTCACGGAAAGAGGAATAGAAGCAAATCCTAATTAGATTAATGCTTTCCTTACTATGCCTTCGCCAAGAAACATTAAGGAGGTCCAACGATTGATAGACAGAATTGCTGCATTAAATTGTTTCATATCGAAATTCACCGATAAATGTCTCCCTTTTTATCAGATTTTAAAAGGAAACATAAAATTTCGGTGGGATGATCAATGCGAAGCAGCATTTGGTCAACTCAAAACTTATTTGACAACACCGCCGGTTCTCTCAAAACCTGAATCGGATGAAAAACTTTACCTTTATATCTCGGTTTCTAATCATTCTGTAAGTGGGTTTTTAGTTCGAGAAGACCGTGGTGAGCAAAAGCCGATTTTCTACATAAGTAAATCTCTAACTAGTCCAGAAACGAGATATACCATGATGGAGAAATTAGCTTTAGCAGTGGTCATATCTGCTAGAAAACTCAGAGCTTATTTCCAATCTCATCCGATAGAAGTTTTAACTTCTCATCCACTTCGCTCAATTCTTCACGGTCCAAGTCTGTCCGGAAGATTGGCGAAATGGGCAATCGAACTCAGTGAGTACGATATAGAATACAAAAGTTGGACTAGCGCAAAAGCACAAGTCCTGGCTGATTTTCTAACCGAACTACCATTAGATGATGGAATCTTTGTTGAAACGGACTCTACATGGAAATTACATGTAGATGGCTCTTCTTCTAAACAAGGATCCGGAATCGACATTAGGCTCAAAACTCCGACAAAGGAAATAATCGAGCAATCATTTTGGTTAATGTTTCCAGCTTCGAACAATGAAGCAGAATACGAAGCCCTTTTAGCAGGACTTCGGCTTGCTCTTGCGATTGGAGCAGAAAAAATAATAGCTTATTGCGATTCTCAGCTAGTTGTAAACCAGTTTGCTGGAGATTACGAAGCTAAGGCTCCTCGAATGGAAGCTTATCTTTCGGCTGTAAAAAAATTAGCCGGAAAATTCAAAGAATTAGAATTAGTTCGAATACCTAGAGGAGAAAACACTTCGGCAGACGCTTTAGCGGCCTTAGCTTCTACCTCAGATCCTGAACTCAAACGAGTTATCCCAGTTGAATGTATTTCTTCGCAAAGTATTTTAGTTGAAGAAACAGAAAACGATAACATTTCAGAGGCCGAATACATCGAAACTCCAAAACAGTGTTCCGGAAATAGTTCACTTGTCATCACCAGATCACGGATAAAGTCTCAAGATGACGAACTTACTTCACCATTGGAACTTCCTAAAGAAAGTCAAAAAGAAAGTTAAAGGATCAAGAGGTTCCCATTAAAGAACCGTCTCGAACCGAACAGTCACTTCCAAGTGATGTAGAGGTTCAGGAGACAATCGAAGATCCTGATATTCCTTCCGAACCCGAACCAAGGAAGTTTATACTCAAGGATAATACTTCCGCTAATGATTGGAGGCTGACTGGAGGGTACCCATCAAAAATTTCATTCTTAATGGAGAACTACCATCGAACAAATGGCAAGCTCGCAAATTAAAAATCATCAGCCCTAAGTATTGTATAATTAAAGAGTCATTGTACAAGCGAGGTGTCAGTGATCCTTATCTTTTATGTATTTTCGGACCCGAAGTTGAAATAGTGACAAGCGAGGTCCATGAAGGGCTTTGTGGTAGTCATTCTTCGGGACGAGCAATGGCTTTCAAAATCAAACGGTTAGGATATTTCTGGCCAACTATGATTTCAGACTGCATTGATTACGCCAAACGGTGTAAAAAGTGTCAGATGCACGCTCCTCTTATTCACCAGCCATCTGAAATTCTATCACATATATCCGCTCCATACCCTTTCATGAGGTGGTCAATGGATATAATCGGTCCGATGCATCGTTCAACACGAGGCGTCCAATACTTATTAGTTCTAACGGACTATTTTTCCAAATGGATTGAAGCTGAAGCTTATATAAGCATACAAGATTCCGTAGTAAAGACATTCTTGTGGAAACACATTATTTGTCGCTATGGAGTTCCCTACGAAATAGTAACGGACAATGGTCCTCAATTCATTTCAAATGATTTTGAAGATTTTTGTTCCGCTTGGGGAATAAAACTTAGCTACTCAACGCCGAGGTATCCTCAAGGGAATGGACAAGCGGAAGCCTCCAATAAAACCATTCTCAGCAATCTTAAAAAACGCCTGAGTGCTCGAAAAGGTGGATGGTATGACGAGCTGCTGCCTGTGTTGTGGGCTTATCGAACAACCCCAAGACGAGCAACAGGTGAAACTCCATTCTCATTAGTTTATGGGATGGAAGCCGTAGTCCAAGCCGAGCTGAATGTTCCAGGTTTGCGCTGAAGCGAAGCTCCACTTAACGAGGAATCGAATTCTAAATTACTAGAAGACGTTCTCAATACAATCGATGAAAAGCGAGACCAATCCCTTATTCGACTTCAGAATTATCCACAGTTGACCGCTCGATACTATAACTCAAAGTTGAAAAACAGACCTTTAAATGTAGGAGACTTTGTTTTAAGACGAGTGTTCGATAACACAAAAGAAGAAGGAGCTGGAAAACTCGGTATTAACTGGGAAGGCCCTTATTAAATCACTGAAAAAATCCGAAACGGTGTATACCGTTTACAAGACCTTGGTGGAAATCCCGTTCAAAAGCCTTGGAACATAATCAACTTGAAAAAGTTCTATTGCTAAAGCAAACACATTCGAACTATTGCTAGTCACGAGTCCGGCTATAACATAAAAATAAAAATATTTTTCCAGTCATGGAATCCTGTTTTTATAAATTTGATATTCGAGCATAAATATAAAGATACGTTGCGAACAATGTATAAATAAATATTTCTTGCTAAGCTAAGACCGGATCTAGAAGGGTCTTGAATTACGGAACAACTCCGCTCCTTGACCAGCGAAGTCAACGATGCTCATAATGCAACCTGGCATGTTTCCGTACTCTTGAAGTCCCAGTTCGATCTAATCGGAAGGATGGGCTTCGAGGCGATGAAGCTCGCGAGAAATATCGAGGCGACGCTTCTCTAGCTCCATTATCCGTTTCCTAATCTTTTTCTTATCATCTTCGAGCTCGTCAAGCCGAGTGATAAGCTGAAGAAAATAAAACGCTACGTTTAGCAATAACAAAAAAGTTAATCACTAGGATGGAAAATACCTTATTGATAAACTCCTCAGCCTTAACATGATCTTGAGGCGACAATCTCTCGATTAAAACGATTGGAACCTAAATGCTGCTTCCCTTCTTCAATATTTGTGGATCTTTTGTTTCGCCAGACTCTCCTGCTTTTATAAGCTCGATGTCCGACGTCCTCGAAGGATCAACACTCATCACTTTGAACGAGTCTGAAGGATTCTCTGATGAATTACCTCCCTTGAACATTTTTGTAGAATTGTTGTTGAAATTCAATGATAAACTACACCCATTTTATACTCCAAAATTTATTCGATTGCATTTAAGAGGATTAATTGACGATTTGCCAAATCTGAAATTACGACTTTCATGGAAAATGTAATCGAGTTAATTGCTAATTATATT